TATCCAAATCAACTTCTCCTTGAAGTTGGAACTTCGACTTTTGGCTTGTCCTCTCTCGGCCATCTCCATGTCCGCAATGGTGTTCTCTTGGCCATCTTAGGTTGCATTCAAGCTTTTCTTCTTCAGCTTCGGCTAAAGGGTTAATTTTGACCTAGGCTATCGATCCAAGTCGTCCTTGAGTCGATTCCATAGATTCTAATTTTTCAGCCAAAATTTTCTCTCCTGGCCGCTCTGCTCAGCCATTCTCTGCTCTCATCCAGGTCATTACACCGCCGGCCTTTACTGGGAGTTGGATGGTGGTTTCTCCTGTGAAGCCGGTGAGTGGAGTTTAATCGTTCGATAGCATGGATGTTTGGTATCCCATGCATCTAAAAGCGTCGAAGAACATCACGTCTACCGAGATACCGGTATCGATCATGACCCTCGTGAGGTCGAAACCACCTACAGCGATCTGGACGATAAGTGCGTCATCATGTGGTTTTTCTAGGGATATCGTTTCACTTTCTAGAAAACTTATTTGGTGATCGGGTCCGTCCAGAGGCAGGTTTACGGTGACGAACTCGACCTTGCATTAGTATGCCTTGATCGAGTTGATTGAGTCTTGGCACATCTTTAACCCCTAAAAGTATGCCTTGAATTCGATTCGCTTTATTGTGGGTAGCACCCCCTCCTCCTAAAAGAGTAAGCGATGCGTGAGATAGAACTCGCTTGAGTACGAGGTGTCGAGAGTAGGGTAATGCTCGGTTCTGAAGAGTTACCGAGTAATTTTAACACGTGCCCCCCCCCCCCACGCGACTTTGTGGAGCCTGGTTGAGTCAGAGCTTGATGGTTTCCTAGGTGTGGGAAGGGGGGTGATTACTGATTTTATTTATCCACCGCAATGGTTTAGCTCTCTGAAAATCAGGTCTATTCTTTTTCTTGCTGATGGAGGAGAGTCAGGGGTTTGGACTTCGACTTCGACTTCGCGATCTCGTTTTTGAGATGCTTTGTTGGGGTCCTCTTTCCTATTTCTAATCGAGGTCTTTTTAGGCTTTTCGCTTTTTCCCTCAGCCTTCTCGACTTTTTACTTGGCGAGCTTCTTTGCCAGGATTCTAGCTCGAGTTCGACATTCCTCTGTGAAATATCCGTTCTTTTTGTGGTGTTCGCAATATTTCTTTTGGTCAAAGCTCGACTCCTTTTTGGAGGACGAGCTTTCTATAGCATATGAATGTTCACTTTTGCCTTGCGACTCCCTTTTAGGAGGTGGGACGTTAGCTTTTTTCGACCCGGAAGGTGCGTGGTGGAGCTGTGGGTTATGGTATTTTGCTTCGCAGGCAGCCGTTTTATCCTCAAAGTTAGCAAAAATGGACGCACGATGGATTTTGTTGTCGAGTGAGTCTGTGGGTCGAATCGTGAGCTCCGCCTTGAACCTCGACTGGTACCAAAGGTTGGTCCGGAGGGCAAGCAGGGCTACTGCTTCATTCGGGTTAGCGATTTTTGCTTTGATCGCCTTGAATTTAGCAATGTATGATCGAAGTAGTTTATCTGGAGCTTGGACTAGTTTCCAGAGATCGGATTCGGTTTCTCGTTTTTTGATATTGCTTGAGGAAGGCTATTGCGAGCTCGTTGGAATTTGAGATTGAATTTTCTTCCAGCGTCGCAAACCATTTCTGGGCTGGTCTGACTAAGTTTTCAGCAAAGAGCCTGCAGTATCCTGCTTCTTTTTCTTCTAGCGAGAAATTAGCTCGGATAGCTGCGAGGTTGAAGAGTCAGATGTGAGCTTTTGGGTTATTGTTTCCAGTGTACTCTGGGACTCATACTTTAGTAGTATCTCAGAGGTACGTGTTCATGATCGAGTAAGTGGACGGAGTCTGTTGGGTCTCCGGGGCTGAGCTCGTGGCTTGATGGAACATGGAGTTCATATGCCGAATAGCGTAGTCGGTCTGGTTCTGGAAACTTTCAAAGGATTCGCAGTCGATTAGGTTTCTTGATCCGACGCCGAGGTGGGTAGACTGAGTCGGATCATTTGGAACTTGAGTTCCGAGCTGTTGGTGAACAAACCCTATGGGTTGTTTGCGGATCCCGTTAGGGAGTCTCGAGCTCAAGGTCGTGTTCGGTTGTTGGCCGAACTGAGGCGATGTCTGCGAGCTCGAGGCGAAGGCCGAGGACCCAAGCCATCTCTGTCGAGGTGGCTCGGTTCCAGGTGGTCTTAAAGGTGGAGATGGATATCTCGTGTTAGGACGGGGTCCCATTTTGGGTATTCCTGGAGCTGGCACAGGTGGAGATGGATATCTCGTCGCGGGACGAGGTCCTATCTCTGGTATTCCTAGAGCTGGAATATCCATGGCGATTGGTGTCTGGTTCACCGCGGGGGTGAAGTTTGATGGGCCTGGAGCACGCAGAGGTATCACGAATGGTCCGGGTGGATTACTCGGAGCAGGGATCGACGAAAAGTCAAGCTGAGTCCGCGGAGGTGGACTCGCAGCGGATCGAGCTCCGGCTTGATGCCTTTCCAGTCTTTCTAATCTGATCTCCTGATCTCGTTGTCGATCGAACATATGCGTGAGCATTTGGAGTATCTCTGCCGACTCCGATGTGCTCCTATAAGCTACAGGCAGAAAAACAGGAGCTGCTCGGCTCTGAGATGTCGAAGCTGTAGGTGGATTCTCAGATCGCACACATGTTCGAGAGGGAAGGAATCTCGGCTGTTTGTGACTGGTTACTCGTCGTTCCCGGTGGGGTGACGAGGTTGATCACGATCAGTTCCACACAGCTGGAAACGTTGGAATTCATGCTGGTGGTGTCGACGAGGATCGTGACCCTGGGTTCGTTTCCGCCGGCTATCTGGCTGACGTTGCTGGTTGGAGTGACTTGATCTGGAGAGATCAGAATCAGTGATACGTTTCCCGAGGTTTGTTGAGTTGAATCCATTTCAGTTTTGTCTGGCTTAAGAGATCTGCTCTTGAGTAAGAGAAATATATAGATCTTCCCCACAGACGGCACCAAAATGTGGATACAGAAATCCACACTCATAAATTTATATGTTTTTGTAAAGGAAGAAACTTAGGAGAATTAAGGGCTAGATTCTCTCGAACAAATTGACTGTATAAGCTAGCACTAACTGAAATAAGAACTTGATATTAATCGGTTGGATGAAACTGTTACAAGGATTTCGATAGAAAAGATGAACTGAAAAGACGTCTGAGAGCAGTTACAGGGTTTTCGCGTGTAAAAAGTGTAGAAGAAGATCAAACCGGAAAAAGTCCCTCGAACTGAACCGTTCGTCTCCTTTATATAGCCCGCCTTGTCGAGCTTCAACCTCCAGCGCGTATCTCGGCCATGTGCAGTAGCTTCAGCCGGAAATCTCACCACGTGCAGCAGCTTCCTCCGTGAAATTCGGACTCGTTTAAATTGGGGCTCGACCTCGTGGCATATGCCCTAACTTGGTTCAGATCCTTCCTTGTTTCTCGGGATTTGGTCGAGCTGGAGCTCGACCTCGTCGAACAGAACGTCTTGTTGTTCAGGATCGGATCCTTGAGAATGAATGGGCCTGGGCCTTATGGTCAAAGCCCAATCAATTTGGCTTAGTTTGGATCTGCTTGTTGGGCTTGAGTGGGCCGGATTTATGGTGCTAAATCCAGCTCCAACAATTACTTTACACAAAAAGAATTATTTGAATTAAATTTTTTTTTTTATCATCTGCTTTGATTAAAAGCCCAAAAGGGCAACAAACACATTAAAGAGTAGAACAGAAGTTACATCTCTGACTAAGCCCAATAATATAAAATAAAACAAAACAGGAGCTTGACACGTGATGATGCGTGGACCAAACATATGTGTAATTCGAGATGAGAATTTGCAGCAATGTTTTTGCCACCTAAAACTGTACCGTCGCCGGAAAATGGAATCGCCGATCTCTACAACCTACTACATCGGTACCCTGCTCAAATCTCCTGCATGTAATAACCATTAAAAATGATGATAAATCATTGTACAATTAGTAGAATTGCCCCAGGAATTGTTGGAGGAGAAGAAGCAGAATTTTTTCTGCACCCTTTGCCAGATTTACTGACTCTGCATCAAGATTATCCAATTGATTTCCCATCAACTCAATTTTATCTTCACGGAAACCTTTGCTTCGCAAATCAGCTTAAAAGCAAGGAATTATTTTATAGAGAAGAAACCAAGCAACTAACGAACAAGAAGATTATTAAATTTTTCTGGGATCTGAAATAAAACATGCAGAAGAGAAGATCTGAAAAAAAAAAGTATTTATCCGACAAAGTGGAAGTTAAAAATCCGAGTAAACGACAAAAATATAGATCCGATAAATATAAACAGCACGGTATCAACGTCGGATAAACGCTGGCCACCGACCAAAAAAGACTCAAATCGAAGTAAAAAGTTAAGAAGGATTGAGAGGATATAGAGGAAGAAAATAAAGAAAGAAAAAATCACTTGTAAATATATTATCCAAGAATTAAATTATTAAAACAAATTAATTATATATCAAATCAATTAATATCCAAATTCAAATGCATTTGGATTTTTCTTTCTTTTGTCAATTATATAAAAAAAAAATTATTTGAATTAAATTGTTAAAACAAAAATTAAACATCTTGTTGAAAATTTGTCATGTTTTTGATGATACAAATTCAAGAGCTAATTTGATACTATGGATAACTTTTTTTTAGTTTGATGGTTTAAAATAAAAATAATTTTATACTGAAGTTTAAAATGCTAATTACTTATACATTCATAGGGAAAATTCATTTTTCTCTATAGTTTTCATTTGATTTAGTAGGTTTTATAATAAACCACAGTCAAAACCAACCCGTATTCCGTATTGTTCACTAATATTATTGATTTTTTCACATATATACGTCACGATCAAAGATCGGATCAAAAACTTAAAAGATCGATCACTTTCGATTTCTAAATCCCAAAGACATACAAAAATCGAAATTGGGATTAAACCGGACCGTACCGAACATTTAAACCCTAAACTTCTCTCCTTACCCTTACCAATCACCGAACCACTGGAACGGTGCCCTGCAAATCGGACACGTCAGCTTATAGAAACACCATGAGTCTATACACTCCACGTGAAACACGTGCTTGCATCCCACCAGAACCCTAACGACGTCGTTTACTTCAAAATCCTCCAAACAGATCACGCAACAATCTGCTCTGATCCCGTCGCCGCCGCCGCATTTCGCGCCTTTCTTCGTGAGTCTCACCGCCGGCGGTAACGGCTCGCCGGCTTCCTCGTCGCCGATTGTTTCCTTCGCCGGCTTCGGGTACATCACGAAGCAGAGTAGAAAAATCGAGCCGTAGAAGAGAACGATAAATACGACGCAGAGAAGCCTCAACGCGATTGATCCGCTTTCCGTCACGGCAATCTCCGGCGAAGCAGCAACGTAATCGCCACAGCAGTTTGATCCCATCTTCGATTCTTTCTTTTTTTCTTCAAATCTCGCGAATTTGCAAACTGAATTTAGGAAATGTTTGTGAAATTGATTTGATGAGATTTGGGGATTCCATAGTAATCTCTTATATAAGGATTATCGTTTTAGTGTTTAACCTCGACGAGTGTGATGAACTGTTTAACTTTTAAATAAAAAACTGATTAACGTATTTAGTTATAGTTCTGCGGAGAGGAAAGGTGGCGGGAGGGATTAAGCGAAGGATATTCTAGCTCAATTAATTGTTAATTAGAGGTTTTAATTTAATTAATCATGAACCTTGAGCATTTTCTATTCATGAATACACAAACCAACCGAATTTAAATTAAGCTTAAGGCGCAGTTTTGTTTGTTTAAAAAGTTTAAACTGAGAGTTTTTGTCAGTTACTTATTTGATAATCATTTTGATTACACATATTATTTCCCTCTATGGTGTTGGATCTCACACATTAGATCTGTCCCGTAAAAGCCCAATAAAAACAAAATGAAGCCCATTTTAAGCCTATATAAGATGGGGGTGTAAATGTAAATTAATAAAAGCTTAAGTCGGTTTCAACTATTTCTCGATATTTTATAATTTGCCCCTCGCAGTTCCGTCTTTTTCCTTTTGGCCTCTCTCATTCGATCAGAGGATAGGAGAGGAACATTCGACCGGAGCTCCATCTCTCTCTCTCCGTCGCTTCTTGCTAAGGATTTCTTCAGTCCGATCTGGTAAGCAATTGAATCTTCTCGATCTTAGTTTCATTTGGAAGAGAACCCTAGGATCCATCACTTTGAATCGGCAGATTTTGTATCTAGGTCTTAGTTGATTTGGGGTTGAAAACCCTAGATTTCTGTCTAAATCCGTGTTAATCGATCGAGTTTCTATTGCGGAAGATATTGATTTTGAGAAGGTATTATCGATTTGTTTTGGTTAGGTTGTGAGATTATCCTAGGGTTTCGTAAAGATGCCGGCCACCGCAGGAAGAGTTCGTATGCCGGCGAACAACCGTGTTCATAGTAGTGCGGCGCTTCAGACTCACGGAATATGGCAGAGTGCGATTGGTTATGATCCTTACGCACCAACAACGAAAGAGGAGCCGAAGACGACTCAGCAGAAGTCCGACGATCCCGAGAACTCTTACGCGAGCTTCCAGGGTCTTTTGGCTCTTGCCCGTATCACTGGATCGAACAACGACGAGGCTCGTGGTTCGTGCAAGAAGTGTGGCCGTGTCGGGCACTTGACGTTTCAGTGTAGGAATTTCTTGAGCACGAAGGAGGATAAGGAGAAGGATCCCGCCGCGATCGAAGCGGCTGTTATGTCCGGGCTTGAGAACATTAGGAGCCGTGTTGGTAGAGGTGGCGAGGGGAAGGCGGAGGAGGAAGAGAGTAGCGAGGAGGAAGAGGAGAGCGAGAGTTCTGATTCTGATGTTGATTCTGAGATGGAGAAGATTATAGCTGAGAGGTACGGGAAGAAGAAGAAAAGTGGTGGTGGTAGTGTTAAGAAGACGACTACGAGTTCGAGGAAGAAGAAGAAGCGTGTCTCTGATGATGAGTCTGACTCTGATTCAGGAGATAGGAAGAGGAGGAGGAGGTCGAAGAAGCGGAGGTCGCATAAGAGGAGGAGTGGGAGTGAGTCTGAGGACGAGGAAGAAGGAAGGAGTAAGAGGAGAGGGAGAAAGAGAGATGATGATGATGATTCTGACGAGTCTTGTGATGAAAGACGCGTGAAGCGAAAGAGTAGAAAGGAGAAGAGGAGAAGGAGAAGCAGGCGTAATCGTTCTGATGACTCTGATTCGGATTCTTCCGAGGATGATGCAAGTGGTAGAAGGCAGAAGCGGAGGAACAAAGTTGCAGCTTCTTCAGACTCTGATGTTTCAGGCGGTGATGATGATGTTTCACGCGTTGGAAGAGGTTCTTCTAAGAGGTCTGAGAAGAAGAGCAGGAGACGCCATCACAGGAAAGACTGAAGCAAACTAGTTTTGATATTATGTTTCTTTGCCATTTTCACTCTTTCATTTGTCTCTCTCTTCTATCAATCAATCTATGTACAATGTTGGATGATGAAACTTTGATTTGTGTTTGTGTTTGAACTCTTGTGGTCTGTTTGTTTCAAGAATGTATTATTGAGATTATATGTGTTAAAAGTGTGAGTCTTTTAATCTTAGATTTGATTATTGTTTCCCAAAGTTTCGTTTTTTATTTGTCACATTTGTTTAAGAGTGAAGAAGAAGTCGGCAATTACGAAAGCTGTGAAGTCGGCAACAGTATATGTGGAAGAGACCCAAGACTCGTGAATTGGTTTTGGCATGGCTCTATAAGGACAATTTGGTCATTTTAAAGAGCTCGAATTTCATTGCTCGATTCATATCTTCTCGTGGGTCCTCTTAATCTCTTCTCCACCGTTGAACAAAAGTTAAAAAAAAAACCAATCTTTGAAACTTTTATAAATCCCAAGAAAATAGGTGAAATAGTTTCAGAACAAGATCAAGCAGAAAAAAATATCCCAAAACCCAAAAAGAAGCAGAGGAAGAAGAAGAAGAAGAAAGATGCCTTCAAGCACATTCTCGGGAACTGTGAGCTCGCCGAAGCTTTCGGTTGCAGTCGACATGGGCAATCCTTTCCTTAACCTCACCGTCGATGGTTTCCTTAAGATCGGAGCTGTAACATCTCTCTCTCTCTCTCTCTCTCTCTCTCTCTCTCTCTCTCTCTCTCTCTCTCTCTCTCTCTCTCTCTCTCTCTCGGATCATTTTCTAATTTCTGACTAATATATCTCTCTCTCTCTGTGTCTCTCTCTCATTGTTTTCTGTTTGATTCTCTGAATGGATTTAGGTTGGAGTCACTAAATCTCTTGTGGAAGACACTTACAAAGCCATCGACAAAGGTAAAATCCAAAACACAAAACGAAAAGCTCTCAGCTTTATCAAACACACACATAAGTGTTTTCATGTTCGGTCTAATAATGTTTGTTATATAAAGTTGACTCATTTTATACACATTGGTGGATCTGTTTCTGTTCTTATTGTTTACTTGATTCGTTTGTTGAAAATCTAGGGAGTGTCTCCAAGAGCACCATTGAGCAAGCTGTGAGTACCCTTTGATCGAAAATCTTATGTTATATAATAATATATGTATGATGTGATTTGAAGAAATGTGTCAATTTTGAAGTTTCTGAATATTGTGCTACGAACAATTTGTTTGCAGCTTAAGAAGATGTGCAAAGAAGGTGTTTATTGGGGTAAGTTGCTTTCTAAATACATTGTTTCTAGTTTCAGCAATGGTTTAGTGAATAGATTCAAAGCCAAAAGTTAAAGCAAAAGTTAAAGTTTGAGACATATGAATGTTATATATATGATCAGGAACTGTGGCTGGAGTGTATGTTGGAACAGAATATGGAATCGAACGTGTCCGTGGCACTAGAGATTGGGTAACATTTCACACACATTGTGGTATAAAGATTTTTTTGCAAAACTTTATATTAAACTAAATTTTGTTAATTTTTTGTATCAGAAAAACGCAATGTTGGCAGGAGCAGCGACAGGAGCATTGATCTCTGCGGCTACTAACAAAGGCAAAGACAAGGTCGTGGTCGATGCCATTTTGGGTGGCGCTCTTGCAACCGCTTCCCAGTTCCTTAACAATCATTACTTCTACTGAAAATTTCAATCTTCATATTGGACCAATTTTGGTTTCCAAATTTGGTCCATATGGTTGATTTCTTTTGTTTATTTCCCAATAAAAAAATGTTGTGATTTGGAATGCTTTTGAGTATCTTGAACGTTGGTAATTTCATTAGCAATGGTTTGTGGTTTCTTTAAAACTCTTGGGCTTACTCAAAGTCAAAGGAGTTTTGGTGGCGTGAAGTCACAGAATCCACTACATATTCTTATTTGAGAAGTAACATTTTAATATGACATGTCAAACTTTTTAAAATAAACAAAATGTTTTGATTAGCTGAATTAAAATTATAGTTGTGAAATTAAAACATAAATAAACTAGATTATATTTATAACACTAAAATTAACAATTTAAACTAACAGAAAATAAAAGTTATTATAATTTTATTTTTTTACATATATTCATAATTTCATAAAATATAATTATGAAATTTTTTCAACAGTATATATATATATATATTATAATTTCACATAAAACAAAAAAAAATTATACTAAATGATCCAATAGAATAGTAAAAATTCTATTTATTAATAATACTTGAAGTATGATATATTTTTATATCGGAAAGTTATTAATTTACAAAATATATTAATAACATCTAAACAAGTTCTAAATAAAAAAATTATTAAATAATACAATTTTAAATAAAATACAAGCATGATAAAAATAATTTAAAGAATAAAATGTTAAAATAATAAAATAATTAACTTTTATTGGAATGGTTTTAAAAAAACGTAATTTTAAATAATTTTATTTTCAAACCGATATTTACTAATTGAATAAAGTATATACTAATTATTATTTTATAATATTAATAGGACCATATATTTTTTTATAACTTTTATCATCTTTTTATTGTTGTTTTCTAAAATGTACATAACTTATGTTACCATCTCATATTATCTCTTATCATATTTTAAATAAAAATAATAGCATATGCATATATATATATATATAAAATTTTATTTTCATTGTATATAAAAAATTTGAGATAATAAATGAAATAAAAAATAACCGAACGAAAAAATAAATTATAATAAGATGAAAAAATATGAATCAGAAATAAAAATAAAAGTATATAAAAGTAAATTTCTCGCACTTTATTTTACAAAGTCACTTAAAAACTTTTTAACATGTAAGAGCCATATTTTAATTTTTTACAAATACGCGTATATACATATATATTAATTGTACATTAGTTGAAGTCACATGCGAACTTTTCCATGTATGTATTTTGTTAAGATTGATTACAGTCTAATTTTTATTTTGATTATTATACAATTTATATTTTTAAAAAATCTTTATCTATTCTAAGTGTAGTGAAGTGGTTGGTATGCTCGCACATGCGTGCCAATTATCTATCCGCTCTTAGGAATAAGTAAAAATGGTAAAAACTATTTCAGTTTAATTTGCAATAAATCAAGAAAAAGATATACTTAAATATATTATATATGTATTTGCAAATTCATATTATGTAAGACGCAAAAAATCATATCGTAGATTGTGTAAGGAGAAATAAAGCATATTATAGAAATATTAAAAAAATATTATAAGAATTTAATTATTATTTAACATAACTTTTATATTTGTGATTATATATTATTACAAGCATTATAAATATAAAAAGTTTTAAAATACATTGATTTCAGAAAGAAGTTTGTGAAATATTAAAACAATATATATATACAAACATACCAATATTTAAAAAACTAATCAACATTTAAATATTACAATTAACTATGTATATCAAAATAATTATATACGTACATATGTGCGGGCCAACCACCTAATATATATATATATATATATATTCATCGAATAGTTATAAATTTAAAACATGTGAAATAAACTTTTTTATTATTCAGTACTTAATACTATGAATGGTATGTGTTTAGTGGAATCACATTAAAAATATGGAAAACTGCATATTATTCAATCCTTATATATTTTAAAAAAAATAGTCAACTACTTTTTTAAAAAATAAAGCATTTACATTACACAATGAAAATATGAATGGATGGATTTATAGAGCTTTAACTTTGGGCCTTAATAATCAAGAGTACACAATTTGTAAGTCACTAGGCCGTGGCCTCAAATCCATATCGCCAGGACCTCAAAATATCGTTTTACCTTAATGCTTCTTTATCATGTTTCTAGTTTGATTCTTAGAAAATGCAGAGTGGTGGAAATTAATAAAAGGCAAATTTATTAGAATTTACATGTAAAGTCGGTTGTCTAAAGTATATATATATATATCTCTCATTTATTGTATTTCTTTACACAATTTGTCTCATATACATATTTCTTATAGAATACATTCGTACAGTTTCGTTTTTTTTTTTGGGATGTATGTGTATAAACGTATAAAAACGTGTGTAGTTCTTAGTGTGTGTGTTCACTCTAAGTGTAAACACGTCTTCTTCAAGAGGGAGAGGTCGTGGCAGAGGAAATAGAGGATGAGGAAGAGGTCGAACAAATTCACAAGACCGATCTCAAAAAGATCAATCTAAGACGATAGAAAAGAAAGATAGGTCGAAGGTGATTTGTTATCGATGTGATACACCTGGTCACTTTGCTTCTGTATGCCCCGATAGAATACAAAAACTGCAGGAAGCAAATCAAGTGGAAGCAAAACAAGAAGAAGCCGCTTTATACCTGCACGAAGTAGTATTCTTAAACGAAGAAAAGGTGATACCAAAGAACTACAGAAACGATGAAGGTGAAGAAGGACTTTGGTATCTCGATAATGGAGCTAGTAATCACATGACTGGACATAAAGAGTACTTCTCAGAACTAAATGAAAACATAAGAGGCAAGATCAAGTTTGGGGATGGATCGTGCATTGAAATAGGAGGGAAGGGGTCTATACTATTTCAAAGCAAGACACAGGAACAGAAACTCGTGACTGATATCTACTACATTCCGGCCCTTAAGAGCAACATCCTAAGTCTAGGACAAGCTACGGAGGTTGGGTGCGATGTAAGAATGAGACAAGACTACCTAACGGTTCATGACCCAAGCGGAAAACTACTTGTAAAAGTCACAAGATCGGCAAACAGACTATACAAGATAAACCTCAAGATTGGGAGGCCAATATGTTTGAAGACTAGTATAGTTGAAGACTCTTGGAGATGGCATGCGAGACTAGGCCATATTTGCTTTAAGACAATGAAAGCTATGTCAAAATTGCAGATGGTTCATGGTTTGCCAGAATTCAAAGAAGAAGACAGGTTGTGCGAGTCTTGTTTGGTGGGAAAACAAACTCGACAATCGTTTCCAATAGCAACCATGTACAGAGCATCGAAACCCTTAGAGCTGCTACACGCGGACCTATGTGGTCCTATTTCACCTCCAACCATCGCCAATAACAAATACATATTTGTTATAATAGACGACTACTCAAGATACATGTGGTCTATCTTGATAAAAGATAAAAGCGATGCATTCCCTAGGTTCAAAGAGTTCAAGAATCTAGTAGAAAAGGATCTCGGGATGACAGTAGCAACACTAAGGACGGACAGAGGAGGAGAGTTTACCTCTGGTGAATTCAATGAGTTCTGTAATGTGAATGGGATCAAGAGACATCTCACAGCACCTTACACACCTCAGCAAAACGAAGTGGTGGAAAGGAGGAATCAGACTTTGTTGGAGATGACAAGAAGCACTCTCAAGGCGATGAAAGTACCAAACTATCTATGGGGGGAGGCTGTACGACATGCTACTCACATAATCAACAGAGTACCAACACGTGCACTCAAGAATATGACACCATACGAACGCTTGAGGAACAAGAAACCACACCTTGAGCATCTAAAGGTATTCAGATGTTTAGCTTATGCTAAGATAGAGACTACAAACCTCAAAAAACTCGATGACAGATCAATACCACTAGTACATCTTGGTTTAGAACTGGGAACCAAGGCGTATAGGCTGTACAATCCATCGCAGAAGAAAATTGTAGTAAGCCGCGACGTGATTTTTGATGAGAAGTCAAGCTGGAACTGGAGTGAAAATAAAGAAGGATCAAACAGAGATCCTGGAATGTTTCACTTGAGGTGGGGAGATATTGTAGACACCGGAGAAGGTCCTACTATTGTTGGAAATGATCACTATGAGGAAGGAAACGAAGACTTAAGTGATCACGGAGGAGATGACAATACAAACGAAGATGAAGATGCTCATGAACAGCCGATGCAGCAACAGCATCAGCAACAGCAACCTCTAAGAAAGTCTACCCGCGAATCAAATTTACCAGGATACCTTGGAGACTACGTCTGTTACCTCGGCGAAGATTACACTCTTCAAGCCTCCGTGGAATGTGAGCGACTTTTGCTTCTAATAAACGACGAACCAAGCTGTTTCAAGGAAGCAAAGGGTTCATTACAATGAAGACTATCTTGCAAAGATGAGATCGAATCAATCAACAAAAACAGAACATGGTTTTTAGTTGAAAGAACTGGATCTATGAAGGTGATTGGTCTCAAGTGGGTCTTTAAACTCAAGAAAAACGCAGACAACACCATCAACAAACATAAAGTAAGACTTGTAGCAAAGGGATACGTACAAGAATCAGGCGTGGACTTCGACGAAGTATTAGCACCAGTTGCACGTATTGAGACTAATCGTTTGTTGATTGGATTGGCAGCTTCAGAAGGATGGGAAATTCATCACCTGGATGTGAAAACCGCATTCTTACATGGAGAGTTAAAAGAAGACGTTTACGTAGAGTAACCCGAAGGCTTTGAGATAAAAGGAGCAGAACACAAGGTATACAAGCTCTCGAAGGCTCTGTATGGATTAAGACAAGCGCCTCATGCCTGGAATACAAAGCTGGATCAAATCCTAAAGAATATGGGATTTAAGAAGTATGCAAAAGAAAGTGCAGTATATCGCAAAGAAAAAGGAGGGAGTCTCCTCATATTGCGATCTATGTAGATGACTTATTCGTGACTAGTAACTCTCTCAAGGCGATTGACGAGTTCAAAAAAGGAATGTCAACTACCTTTGAGATGTCGGATCTCGGAAAGCTCACCTACTACCTTGGTATTGTAGTGTATCAAGGAGAAGACAGAATAGAGATTAAACAAGAAGGTTATACTCGACGGATCTTAAAAGAAGCTGGCTTAGAGAATTGTAATCCAACGCAAGTACCCATGGAGTTTGGATTAAAGTTCTCTAAAGCACTCGAAGAAGAAGAAATAGCTCCCACGAGCTATAGACGGAACGTAGGCTGTCTACGGTACTTGATACACACACGACCGGACTTAGCATACTCTGTTGGAGTCGCAAGCAGATACA